GTTCATATTCTTATTTTGCAAGTCTAATAGTTTGGTGCAGAATCAGGCACTACTGAAATATACCCATATATTTAAATATGCTGGGTTTATATTTCATCATTATAATGAACCAGATATAATATCTAATTCCTTGACTTGAATTGTGTCTAGGGTAGGAATAACAAACTCAAATGTCAACAGAGCCCATACTGTGACATAAATGTGTGAAATGGGCGCTGTGGTGTTAGTGAGAAGTTGAAGGGCACTTAAAAGACACAGCAGATACTCTACACCAATTATTCTTGTGAAAGTTTGTGGGCTCACTTCCTAGATTTTCTAACTTCTTAAGAAAAGCTCTGGCTTATAACGTGCAGCCTCTTAATTTTTACCTGCAGGCAACTAACCCAATATTTTAAAAGACTCATGTGACCCAAACAAAAAAATGCCTGATCACCAAATGCACATCTGATGACTCAAAGAAGACCTGTGCTAAAATGTTGAAGTTTCAAACTCTAGATACCAAAATTGTTAATATTATCATATATCCCTACCTTATCATTTTGAAAGTGAAAATACATTGGGGTGCTTTAATATTTGACTATTTTCATATTATATGCATTCTTCATTTTTACAAGGTGCCTTCCCCAGAGGAAGTAGCACTATAAGAATGCATAATATTAGCACCATAATAAAAATACTAGAGCACTTAGGCCTTCAGTTTGTTTTGAGTCACCTAGTAAAGATTTTTTGGCCAATATATTCCATAAAACAATATAGAGTATTTCCATGTACTTTTTTAAGCCAGGTGATATCAAGGACAGCTTTCATGTAATATCTCATTATGCTTTACTCAGTACAGACACCCTTATCAATTTACAGTTTAAGTAAAAAAATGCTCTAGTATAAATTAGACAATAAAATTTCATTGACAGTTTATTTATATATCTAATACTATAATAGGTTATATAGACTATTTTGGAAAAACAAAATTTTGCCCACAAGAAGCTTAAAGTTCTCACCTATAATTAAAAGGTGACCACCAATGACAGAATTATACAGTAAGCTATAGAAACCATAAAATAGATTTTTTAAATTATATACATATATATCTCTAGATAGATGGAGAAATATCACCATGGAGAACAATAGGGAAATCAATAATTATATAACTGTACATACATATTAATAGAGTGATAAATTATATAACTCAGGCCATCAGAGATTTTGCTACCACACTGAACCCTCCCTCAACTTAAATCTCTCACTATACACTGCCTCCTTTTCCCCTCTGCTCCAGAAATATGTGAAGAGTTTGCTCCCAGCTTAAGGACATCGCTCAAACTTGTTGCTCTTTTTCACTCTAATTTTAGCTACTACGTTTTACAATGAGGTTTATCAAAAACGAATTTTTGGTTGGCTGCCTGGAAGTCCTATTAGTGGTGAAAAGTCTCCGAAGTGTGACCTGTAGCTGAGGAATCTGGCTCCAGGCCAAAGACCTATATGTGATCTTTCAGGCCTGATCACAGGTCCTCTGCTCCAGAAATATGTGAAGAGTTTGCTCCCAGCTTAAGGACATCGCTCAAACTTGTTACTCTTTTTCACTCTAATTTTAGCTACTACGTTTTACAATGAGGTTTATCAAAAACCAATTTTTGGTTGGCTGCCTGGAAGTCCTATTAGTGGTGAAAAGTCTCCGAAGTGTGACCTGTAGCTGAGGAATCTGGCTCTAGGCCAAAGACCTATATGTGATCTTTCAGGCCTGATCACAGGTAATTACAAAGGCTGTGCCTGGCAAGTCTCTTGAGGGAAAGCTGCCCTCTCCACACCAGATGTGGTGTACAGTTTAGAGGAATTGAGTCTAGCTGGCCATGCTGGTAGGAGCATTCCTAGCACAGGCACCTCCATTCCGAGGCCTCCTTATTGTAGGCTCTTGGCCGACGACTCTCTTAGGTCCCTCTGCTAAGACCACCTTATTTCAGGGGGACTTGAAGACACTTTTCTCCACTATGACTCACTCACTATTCAGTATTTTTCTACTCCTAGTCTTTCCCTTTTCCCTCCCTCTGGTCTCTTGTTAAAAAAAAAAAAAAAAAAAAAAAAAAAAACTTTAGGAACCTTTGTTCTGGGCTCCCTTAGCAATGAGACAGTGCCCCACTTCTGCAGTAATATTTCTGATCTTTGTCCAGTGTCATTCCGTGGGGAAAAGTGGAGCATTGATGGTGTGGGCACCTTCTTCCTTGCTTATACTATTCCAGTAAGTGAATAAAGGCTTAATTATTACTTTCCTTTTGGCTTGTTGTTTTAATTGACCACTCTTACATCTGGCAGCTCAGCTCTTGACAGTAGCTTTCCATGCTGTAATGGAAGTAGCCCCTAAAAGTCATCCAAAGACGGGTGTTCAGACCCAGGACGGTGTAGTACATGCTTATTACTTTGTCTCTGATTCATCTGAGATCCTTGACAACTCCCTTTTCCCAACCCCAGAGTCTTACCATTTGGAGCTCCTCAGAACCTGTAGAAAAGGCATGGTGACTGGAGTCAGACTGTTTTAAATTTTGGCTCTGCTTCTTACCTCATGAAGGAGTAAGTCAGAAAAGTCTATGGACCTTAATTCCCATGTGTATATTATAGTAAAGACATAATACTAATACTTCAAAAGAATGTTTTGAGGATTAAGTCAAAAATGTAGGTTGTAACCCTTTTTGCAAATTCCGTAAGAGTTCACTCCACTTCAATGACTGTTCTCTTATTACTGTTCTTCCTTTTCCCATTTCATTACTTAGTGGCTCTCTCTAAAATAAATCTTCAGGCTTTCCTCATTTTCCTGTCCACTCTCTTTCTCTCAGCTCTTAATGGATGCAATATTTTATTTTAAGTATCTAAAAATGTAATATGTTAGAGAAAGTATTTAAATTAAGCAATCCAGAATCTAAGGAATATCATGTAGGAAAATCAACCCCAACTATATGTGTTAATTTTAGTAAAGTTATTGTGAAATTATCATTTCCACAAAGCATTATTTTACAAATAAATTTTCATGTATGCTTTTTCCTTTCTTCCATGCCTTCTTTCCTCTCCTTAGTATGTTTCTCTTTCTGTCATTCCTTTACAGCTGCTGCACAAAATGTCTGCTCATGAGCAACACGGGTCTCAGAGATGCTCATCCTCTCTCTGGCGTAGTAGTGATGATTCATCTCCCTCTCTAAATATTTCTTCCATTTCTGTCACTCCTGTCAACTCGCCTGATTCCAGACTATCATTGGGACTATTAATACCACCGCCTTCTAAATGTGGCCTTCCCAAGCCAGTCAGTGAGAGCAGCATCCCAAGACCTCATGTAATTTTCTAAGCAGAAAATTCTTTTTATTTTCCCACTTATTATTATTTTTTTTAATTCTGCCAAAATGTGCCATTTGTATAGTAATGGAAAAGTCAGGTATGTCTTGAATCAATGTGATGAGATCTGGAGACTGTGTGTGCCACTTTTGTTTCCTTTGGTTACTTGATAGCAGAAAGTTTCAAGTAGAAAGAGATGATAGTGTAGAGATTTACAGAAAGATGAACTAGGATCCATCAGATCTGGCAATTGGGAAATCAGGTCATCAGTGACATTGGTAAATGCAGTGTCAGTAGTGAAAATAGAGCAACGTCTAAATTGATATGAGTTAAGGACTGAATGAAATAAAAGGTGGAACAGAAAGCGAAGTTTCACTTTTAAGGAACTTAGCCTGGAAGGGAAGAGAAAGAGAGGTGAGAGGCTGGAGGAGTAAAGAGGAACAGAATTTTTTAAAAAATTGCTTGGTTTGTTTTGTTTTCAATGACAGTCAGGATTTGACTGTTTTTATATCCTGAGAAAGAGGAGAGATATGGAAGCCAGGTGAGATACAGGATAGGATGATTAGGAAAAATATTTCTGAATAATAGGAAAAGGGTGAGGGATTCAGTAAACAGATCAAGAATAGGAGAGTGACAGCAATTTTCCTGCATGAAAATATGTACTAACAACCATTTTATCAGAATAGAAAATCCATCACTCTCTACATACAATCAGCCTTATTTTTCTTCATCAACTACATCATCTATGAATAAAAAAAAAAAAATGTATTCTGAGGACTCTAATTTTAGTATGAACCACTGTAGGCAATCTCCATGTTCATACGGGAAAGCAATTTTTTTCTTATTATTCCCCTCCAAGTGAGGAATTCTCTTTTGTTCCTGATCAGATCAGATGCTTTTCATAGGAGATAATACACACACACACACACACACACACACACACACACACACGTTTCTTGTTTGACATAGTAATGATTGTTTCATTCCTACATCTTGGCTACATTTTCATAGGATTATCATTTTTTTTTTTTTTTTTTGCTGTATTTGTTAATTCTCGTTCACACTGTACAGATAACTCAGTGATTTTGGTGGTACATTGTTGATTATTAATTTATTTTACAAAGTAGCTATTTTTTATAGTAAACAATGAAATCTTTTAGGAATAAATTATACTGCTATTAAAATACAAATTAAAATATACTCTTCTATTAAAAATGTAAAAAAATTGCCATCAATTGATTTTAAATGTTTATATTTAAGATGGGTCATTTATGTTCAATTAGTTTTGTTTAAAATTTAGAATCTTGTGGGAGATATATTACTGAAATCATATTTTATATAAATAGTTTCCAACATGTTTCTAATGTTCTGATACAAATGGCAATTATTTCTAGATATGCAAAAAAAATCCAATATATCTTGTATATCCATCCAGAATTCACTATTTTTGCCATTATCTTTGAGAACACTTACGCAGAAATTTTCTATTGCTTTCTTACATTTTGGCTAACTGGTTGAATCATATGAAATTGCCAATCCTTTACTATTTTTGATCTAGCAAATAGCAAAATTTATATATGATTCAACTGAACTTGTTGTTTATGTATTTATATGTATATCAAATATTTAGCGTTACAATGTGCCTACGTGATATAACACCCTAATTCATATTATCTTCATTGCAGGCAGGCAGTGTGACACCTAAGTCACCCTCCACTGACATCTTTGATATGATTCCGTTTTCTCCAACATCACACCAGTCTTCGATACCTACTCGGAATGGCACACAGCCACCTCCTGTACCTAGTAGATCTGCTGAAATTAGTAAGCTTCTAAGCAAATCAATATTCCTTGCTATATTTGGATTTCAAGTGTTTAACATTTTGTGGGAAATCGCATATCTTAAGTTCACTAACAATTTTAATTATTAAAGTATTAATAATTAAGTGTTTTCATATTTGTGCCAAATTCAGTTAATTCTGTTTCACTTTATAATTCAGACATTTCTATTTGCAATATGAACCTATTGTATAAACAATGATATTTCGGTGTAGAATCATTTACATCATAATACAAAACATTTAATTATATATTTATTGTGTTTTGAATTATATTTTAATGTGTCCTTTAATTATTAAAAATAACTCTGGAGGTAATTATTTCAATCATTTTGACATGTTTAGGAGAGTTTGGTTTAATTTTTTTGGTTATCATAATCTTAGTTGAAGAAATATATAAATTATGTAAATGCCATGATTTGTTCATTTATTACCCCTATGTAAGGGTTTTTTTTTTTCTTTGATATCTCAAATGATGTAAACACACTGCTTTTCTGTTTTATCTTTTATATATCTGGAAGGAAGATCAAAGTCTATTTTTGATGAATTAGAAAGCATCCAACAGATGTTGATTTTCAGTGTCTTGGCTGTATACTAATCTGAGCCCTATCACAGAAACTGAAAGAATAGTTCCCAATGGCCGTGAATCTGTCACTATGTTCAAAGGAAACTGAAGAAAAGATAGTTTTGCATATTGTGTTTTATTACATTCTCTCTAGGTCACATTAACACATTTAGGATATCTCTGAGGTTTTAGCTTAAGATTTTAATACATGGCAGGACCTATAGTTTATTTGTTTTCTCCCCTGGAATGTAACAAACTACTTTGCTCATGTTACATATTCAATACATTTTAGAGGACTAATTTGTAAATACAAAGTAATAACATTAGGGACTTTAAAAATCTGCTTATAAAAATATCTCAATACTTTACATAAGTTAAAATGTATTTCAAAATTCTTCTGAATATATCTTGTGCCAATGCAAACTAATTTTTTCTAGGAAATAATTCATAAGATGCATGTCATAGCATGTTTTAAAAATGTTGCCAATACGCTGATATCATGATAGGATATATTTTTGCCCTTTTTAGTGTTCTTCCATCTCTTCCTTTTCCGCTGTCTTATTTCCTTGGACCTCATCACTTATTCACTTGTTCATTTATTTATTTAATGAGAAGTGTTTTGCACATACACTAGACTTGGATTACATGCTAGAATTTCTTTTTCAAAAAAAAAAATATTTTATTGCTATGTCCAGGTGTCAAATACAAAATAAGAATGCATTTGTTTAAGCCATCTGAATCTTTGTTGAAACTAAAATTTCATTTACCCTGTGTAGAAATATGAGGAGTCTTCAAAACGTTCATGGAAATATTAGTATTATCTTTTAATTCCATTTTTCCATGAACTTTTGAAGTACCTATGCTAAGTAATCTTATTGCTCATGTATTCCATAAAACATTTGTTTTGTTAACAATGTAGAGATGCATATTTATATATTTAGAAAATCTTCTTAATATTTCAGAGGGTTATTTTTAAAATAGGCAAATAAAAATTGCACATATTCATGGTGTACAATATGATGTTTTGGTAGACTCTGCATTGCGGAATGGCTACATCAAACTAATAACATATGCATTACTTCACATACTTCTTTTTTTGTGATGAGAACACTTAAAATCTTTTCCCTTAGCAATGTTCAAGTATACGATATATTATTATTAACTATAGTCACTTGGATGTACAATAGCTCTTTTTACATGCTGGAATTTGAAATATAAATTAGCAATGTATTGATAATGAAGCATTTTAATCCAAGTTAAAATATAAATTGAGGAGAGTGAATAGATTTGAAGATATATATTTTTTTTAAAAAAGATGACCGGTAAGGGGATCTTAACCCTTGACCTGGTGTTGTCAGCACCACGCTCACCCAGTGAGCCAACCGGCCATCCCTATATGGGATCCGAACCCGTGGCCTTGGTGTTATCAGCACCGCACTCTCCCGAGTGAGCCACAGGCCGGCCCTAGATTTGAAGATATTTAGGAGTATAAATAACCAAGAAATAATCAAGATGGTGGCTGAAAGTTCAAAATCAATTATAATTCAGGATTTTAGGCCAAATGTTAGCAAGGAAAACTAGCACTAGAGAAAGAGAAAATAATGACTTCTGTTTTAAACATTAGCGATTTTGAAAAGCCTTTGGAAAACCTAGTCAGAAATGATCAAATGGTTTAAAGAGATACATCAATAAGAAACTGAAATAACGCTTTGATACAATTTTCAGTGTCTATATATTCCTGAGTATCAAAGTTTAGTAGGTAAGTAGTAAGATAGTTTGATAGATAATAGAGAGATAAATTATATAGATATATCTCTATCAATCTATCTATTCTAACCATTTAAGGACAAATTGTTCATCTCAGTTTTAATTGTGAAATTGTCTGAAACTCTAATCCAATGAACTCTTACATGTATTAATTTATTTTTTCATTATCTACTAAATATGTGAAACCAAAAACCTACATGATTACCCCGTTAGTTTTTCTTCTTAGTGCCTAAGTATCCTAGTGGTTCTCTGTAACATATTTTTGACTTACTATTTTTCACTTCCATTGAATTCTGTCTCCCCTTTGAATACAGATCAGACTTTAATTTATTTAATAACTATGTACCCTGATTGGCTATAAATTCCATGAGTAAACAGATTTGGCCCATTCATCAGTACTTTAATACGTTGCCTAGCAAAATGTGTGGCATACAAAGACTTTAATTTATTTAATAACTATGTACCCTGATTGGCTATAAATTCCATGAGTAAACAGACTTGGCCCATTCATCAGTACTTTAATACGTTGCCTAGCAAAATGTGTGGCATACAATATTTGTTCAATAAATATTTTCCTGATGAGGGGAAAAAATGACTCATTGAAAAGTGATCTTTTTACTCTTGCATTAGACTCAACAAATTTTAATGTTATTAATTGCATAACAAATCTTTTTCCTTGGAAATTGAACTTATATGATTGTTGTTATGAACTTTAGACTCATCTGAGCAGGCCGGAAAAAAACAAAGAGCTCTGTAATGTTTATTAATTTATGCAGTATTAATATCATTACTTCCTCTGTAGCATAGTTGGTTCTTAACTTCTAGGGGAGTCATGGACTCTTGAGAATATGATGAAAGTTTGGAAACCTCTTCACATAAAAACATAGCATGCCCACTTATATGTATAAAAGTGTCTCATTGTATTTCAGAAATGTCAAGGATTCCTTTAAACCGATCTGAAAGTTCTATTGATTCTTGAGTCCCAATTTGAGAAAATCTATGTAATGAAAATCTCTGTTCTTCCTGATCAGCAATCCTTCCCCTTCGTTAATTCATTTTTTTAAACAAACACCTACTACGTGAAAGGCACTGTTGAATATACTTGTGGTATAGTGGTAACCAGGACACTCCTCCATAGAAAAGCTCCTCAGTTCTCTAAATTTGGATTTATTGCCTGAGCAACATCAGACTGAGGAAAATAAACAATAAAGGCAATAGTAATACCCATCAACTATATATGAGGTAACAACCAATTCTCAGTTGTTTAGGACAGTTCTGGTTTATAGCTTTTGTTCCAATGTAACTATGGGGAGTGCTCTTTTCACTTTTAAAAGTGTCTTCACCTGGATGGTAAATTATATATTCCTCTTATTTATATAACACCAGCAACTTCGAAGCATTTTACATTTATTTACTCATTTATCACAAGAATTTGAGAAAAAACAGTCGCAACCCTAAAAGCAAGGATCCTTCATCATAGGAGTCACAGAGTGATTTTAGAGGGTAAGGTAGAAATCAAGTAGCATATTATTTCTCATATAGCATTGAATTTAGAGAATCTAAGTTTTCCTGCAAAATGAAGGTTTAAATACATAATAAATACCCAGTCCCATTTATAATTTAATTTTTCTCCAATTAAGGTTGCATTTGAATTGATTCAGAGGAAAGAAATTTCATAAGAATTTTTTAAATCATATAATAGTCCATAGCCTATCAATTTTAAACATCAGTTTTAACTCTGTTACATCTTTAGTGATAAAAAGCAGTGCATAATTTAGAATGTATGTACAGAGAGCTTTTCTGATACTGCATTCCTACTATTTTTAGAACAGAATTTTATTTCTGAGCTAGGCATTTTTAAAGAACCTGTCTCATCTTAGTTATCTAAGAAGGTGACATGATTTCATACTACATGAGATAATGTATCTTAAGTTTCTTCTGGACAGAAGGTGAGATTAAAGTACATGAACTATGAGTAAGGCTACTTACCAATCTACTCAGTCCTACATTTTGCTTTACTGTTGTGTTGCAAGTAATCAATAAGTGGAATTAGGGAATTCTCAATGAGTAGTACATTATTTTTAGCAAACTTAAATTCCTTCAATGAAATGTAGGTATTGTAATATAGTTATTATCAAATACTTTGTAAATTTATTATTAAGAAGTCTTTATTAAAGACAGAAACATCTCTGAATGATTCATTATGAAACAGTCTTTAATATCATAAAATGGATCTTTATTTCCTTGTTAGTGTTTAGTCTAAGCTCAGGAAGCCAAACATAGAGTATAAGTGTGGACATTGTCTCATTTGATCGTGTAAATATTTATTTATGTAATTCTGCCTTTGAAATCTAACTCACCCCAACTCACTTCTTGTCTTTTTATTTACTAAATTATTTTCTTCTTTTAGAACGAGATCTATTTGGAGCAGAACCTTTTGACCCGTTTAACTGTGGAGCAGGGGATTTCCCCCCAGATATTCAATCAAAATTAGATGAGATGCAGGTGACTATTTTAACAGATTGGCCCATAAATGGTTTATTTCTTTTTAATCTGAGACAGAGAGAATGTTTTATACCAAAATGTTGCTTTTGTTGAGTTATTGTCACTATAAAAATTTACTTTAAATAATTACTTTAAAATAATAATGTACATTTCGTCCTAAAAATCCTCCTAAATATGCGAAGGGTAAGTTTTTTCTTAACAGTTCAATTTGCAATGGCAATAAGGTGGTTCATTTTTATACAAATTGACAGGGATTCTAATAGTTCATTGTTTTGAAATTCAGAAATTAAAAGGTCATTGCACTAGGTTTACAAGATTTTATCTCAGTCTTAATAAGTATGAATTTCAAAATTGTAAATGGGTAGATAAAGGAAAATCTTTGTGAGAGTAAAATCATTCTTTCTGAAAAGAAGCTTTGTAGCTGTAGCTCATAACTTCTGGCTCTTATTGAAAAAGCAGACACCCAGTGACAACTTCTTTAGGAATGTAATCCAGTTGGGTTTTTATTTCTCTCTCTCCCTTTTATTTTTGAATTTTAAATTGTTTGGGAAGTTTGAAGAAATTGGTTTTAAAACCTTTATACAGTGGGCCATGATTAATAAAGTCTTATAAACACTAGAGTAAAGAATTCTCTTTATATCTGCGCTTTACATTTTAGTGAAGCTATTATACCCTATTTTTCATCAAAAAGTTCATATATGGTAGAATCCAGACAGACACCAATTATATGAAGCTGATTGAGAAGAGACAGTGAAGACACTAAAGTAAGGCAAAGGAGGTATTTCCATTTATTAGTCCTGGGTTAATACCTTCACTCTCTATGCTTCACTTCCTGGAAAGAAAAATTTAATGGGTGAACTTTGATCTAACCCTGGTAAGTGTACTCCTCCCTGGAAGGATAATATAAATCCCTTCCACTCATTCTGGAATGTAGCTATGTAGCAATCTTATTTTCCAGGTATTATGTGAATTTTCTTACCATTCTAGATATAAAAAACATACTTGGGTTTTTGTTTGTTTGTTTGTTTGCTTTTTTTTGGCGGCTGGCCAGTTTGGGGATCCAAATCCTTGATCTTATCAACGTTGCACTCTAACCAACTGAGCAAACCATCCAGACCTACATGCCTGCATTTTAAGCTGAATTGTTTAACACATGACTTCAGGTTTTTAAAAAATATATTAAAACAATACTTCTCAAGTTGGGTGATTTGTAATTCCTTTTACAGGAAAAATTATTTTAGATCTTCATATTAACTTAAATTGTTACTATATTTCTTAAATATTTACAAAACAGTCGTCCTTATATTTCTTACACAATTATGAATTCAAAAATTATAAATTAAATAAAAGCAAAATTACAACACCAATAAAATTCAAATTAAGAACTTTAATGTAGCAGAAGGGATGATGTTATTTGTCTGAGAGTAAAACCACTGTATGAAACTTCTGTTGATTTCAAAATGTATCCTGTGCAATGGCACAATTTTCCCACCTCTTTTCTAGATTTCATATACTATCAAATGTTCACTCAAATAATGCATGATTATTTAGGAAGAATGCTATAGTTCATATTAAATCAGTTCTTTTCCTTTCTCATTAGGTTTACCAGTTAGGCTTGTGCTTCTTGGGACTAATGCTTTTGTAGGAACAAACATAAGTAGTACTTGTGGAAATACTTATTCTCAAGGATTATGCAGGCTATGAAGAGTACTTTTTTATGATTGTTTTTTAGATTGTCACAAAATTGAAAAACTTTCTATAGATATTAAAAGATAAGCCTCCATCTCCAGACTTTTGTAGGAACCAAGTTTGAGAAGCATTATGTGGGAACAATTTAGTGATGTGTTAGTCAAATGTTAAACTGTGGTGTTTCTATTTTTGTTTTTTGCCATTTCTAATATTTTATTGATGTCTTTTTTTATTCTTATCTGCTTTCATGGTGGGTAGCGCCAGAGATGGTTGGTATATTCTTCTAATAATGATTATAAACTTACAACTTTTTAAAGCTAAAACTTTAATATTTGCATGCCTTATTAGATAAATATTCAAACAGCAGTTTCATATAGATGTGTCTGATTATTAGGTATGTTTAAAGAGGTTTCATAATCCATAATTTCAGGTTATTTTTTCAATGAATTGGTCACTATTGCATTGTCTGTCTTATTACTTGTCTGTTTCTTTTAGTCTGAGATCTGCTTGCAAGTTCACTTTTTATTTATTTATTTATTTATTTTTTATTATTAAAAAAAT